GGCCACTCCGCATTGCGGAGCACCCCCATCCAGGCCTGGAAGGAGAAAGAGAGGTCATCTGGTGTTCATCCCATAGTCTGGACCTGTCCCCGCCTGGCCAAGGAAGCAGACGGGCTTCAACGCCCCCAGACACAAACACCAGCTTTCAGACACACCCAGACACGGTTACAGACATTCAGACACAAACCCGGGCCACACAATCGCAGGCAGACGGTGCTGCAGGGCCTGACAGAGCCAGGAGCACACACACGCACACATGCACACGCACACATACGGTTGAGCAGGCAACCGCACCAGGTCAGGCAGAGGTGCTGAGGGCGGGTCCGTGCCCCGCGGGCCCCGCACACAAAGGACACACCAACATGCGCCACAGACCCCAGCCAAGCCAGGCGGCCCCGCGCACACACTCAACCAGAGACACAACCACACGGACGGGCTGAGTCAGCCGGCTCACAGGTTCCTGAACCCGGGTCCCGGAGAGCAGGGGTCCCAGAGTCCCCGGCCCCCGCAGACACCCAATCTCACAGGACCCACAATGTCACACAAACACACACACACACACACACACGCATCGCCCGGCCGGCCCGAGCACCTACCCCCATCTTGGCGGCTCCGGGGGACAGGGGCAGGCGAGCGGGGCAGGGGCCGGGGCAGCGGCCTCAGGGTGGGCTCAGGCGCGGGCTCGCGCTGGGGGCCTCTGCAGCGCCCGCGCCTCGGTCCACGCGTCCGTCCGGCGGTCAGCCCCACTGCACACAGTCTGCGGCGACCGCCGCCTCCGCCTCCTCATATGCCCGCGCCCGCCGGGGGGCCGGCGCTGGCCAATCAGGGGCGCCGCCGTTCTGATGGACGGCCCGCGGCCCCGCCCCCGGTACTGCAGCTGTCCTCCCCGCCCCCCACCCACTGCAAAGCGGCGGCGAGGCGGCGAAGGGGGAGCGCTGCGGGAGGCGGAGACCCCCGAAATGAGGGACCTGGAAACCCCCGCAGTGTGGGGTGTCGGCTCCGAGGAAGGGGCGCCAAGGGTGGGAGAGCCCCAGAATCCCCCTCATTGTGTGCCACCAGAGGGAGGAGTGCGCTGTGGAAGGTGGACACCCACCACTGGGTGGGGGGAAAGCCCCGTAAATCACCGCAATAAGGCAGGAGGGCCAGAGCACCTTCTTCTGCAGTGAGGCAGGGGGGAACCCTGGGGACTGTGGGGTGCTGTTCAGGAGGGGGAGATGGAGGGGGCACAAGGGGCAAGGAAGACCCCACAGTAAGTGGGGAAGCTGCAGAGGGGGTAGGAGCCCTGAGGCTCCCCTCACTGTGTGACCTCCCCCCAACACACACACTATGGTATGGCAGTTATCCAACGAGACACAGCTGCACAGGTACACAAGAGACACATCACAGCCAGAGGATTCCACCAAGCATCATACTCACACATGACCATCACCCAGACAGCACAGATGCTGTGGACACACACGGACACCACCCCACCACTCACCACCAGTTTCACAATCACATTCCATCACACACCAGCTAATACCCTCCCACACACCCTACACTACCCCATCAAACAACCCCAGGGACTCACAAACATGCAGAAATGAAACACACATAGCACACACACCTTGCACACCCCATCACACCATAGAATCAGAGTCATAAAATGCCATGTAGATTAACACACACCCTCAAAACACAACCTCACAGATATGCACATCACGCACTCCATCAGAGCTGGCCTTAAACCACCTCACATAGAGAGCCATAACCACAAAATCCATGGACCCACAAACCAGTACACATCTACACTCAGCACCATAGCACAGGCCTCACACTGCCCCAGACACCACTTGAGGCTTTGTGAACACTGTTTCACGCAACATCACACACACTCCTCCCCAATATATCCGGGCATAAGCAAAGGCCCACAGTGCAAAATTGCCAAAGTGTTGCTAATTGTGAATGACAGACAAAAGGTGCACACAGACTCACACACAGCACAATAATTCACCGACACAGATCACACAACACCATCCCACACACCTCACACACTACACACATCATGTATCACAGTGCTATCTCATACACCTCTGTTGTAGCTCCAAACACACCCCCCATGCCCACACCCACACACCACACATCCCATCTTCGTATATATCTACACACACAGATGCACAGCCAGCACCCACACCCCAGGCCTGTCACATACACACAACACCCCGTCAGCCACCCACTGGAGCCTGAGGAGTTACAGCCTCCTACCCCCACCTCTCTGCTCTATGAGGAACACTCCCAGACTCTCCCTGAGAAGGGCAGAAGGGGCAGAGAGCAGGCAAGAGCCTGTCTCTGTAGCTTTCTCAGAATGTGGGTATCCTCCCCACCTATGGGAGTGGGGATGTGGGGGACAGGCAAGGGGCACAGAGTAAGCCTGGAGTATAGCAGGTGAGAGGGGAAGGTTAAGGACCTGGTCACCGAAATGTGTGAAAGGGTGAAGGCCAGAGGGAGACACACAAACTGAGAAAGACAAGAGTCAGAGATTCAAAGCCACAGAAAGATGGGCATGGACAGGGAAACTGGGCCAGAGAGTAAAAGGGGGCAGGGAGGTGGGTTCCTTGGCTTTCCCCGGCACCCAGAGCCTCAGCCCAATCCTGTACTCTGACCCATCCCCATCCCTCCCCGCTGTCCCTTGTTGCCATGGTAATAGGGAGGCCGCATTTGCAGCAAAGGAGGCTGGGCTTGCAGACCTGGCTTGTCTCCATGGAGACTGGGGAAGGGGGGAAGCCACATCTTCTAGCCCTGGTAGTTGCCCCCCTACAACTCTGTCCCCTTCCAGAGGGAGGGAGGGAAGGAGGGAGAACCTGTCAACATATTATCTTTTCCCCCTCCACCTTGTCCTACAGGGATGGGCTTGGACCATGGGAGGGAGATTGGGGTGACAGAGAAGCCTGGGGATGTCAGGATCCCAGGAGATTCTCAGCTTTCTCTCCTCCTGCTTTCCAGCTGGACTGGGGGAGACCCCGGTCCCCCACACCACATCCCAGACACAGGCTCATGTCCCGCCCTCATGCACTCCTCAGCCTGGTGAGACTGATGACTGTGCACCGTGTTCCCAGCGCGAGGCTTTGCGGAAGTTGGGTGAGGGGGGGAGGGAAGATTTACGAAGGTCACAGGGATGGATGGGGACAAGAGAACTCGGCAAGAGAGATGGAGGGAGAGACTAAGAGAAGAAATGGATGCACAGAGTTCAGAACCAGAGAGAGGCAAATAGGAACAATAAAACAGAAACACCAACAAAGACAGAGAGATGGGCAAAGACAGAAATGAGAAAACAGGCGTAAGAGGCAGATAAACAGAATTACTTAGTGAAGATGACAGAGACACGCAGGGACATAGAAAGCCAGGCAGACACGTTGGGCACACTGGGGAGACAGAGATAAAGACTGGGGAGACAGAGCAGAAATGGGGGTGGGGGAGACTCAGAAATGGGGAAAGACCCCAGAGGAGATCTGCTTGGTACTGGAACAGAGAGGGAGACAGACCAGAAATGTCTGCAATCATATTCTAATCACCTTGACAGACTGACAGTCCCGCCCAAGGGCAGAGACATTGATTAGTCTGTGAGAGATGTGGAAACGAGAGACCTTGAGACACAAGCTCATCCCCACACCTGTCTGGGCACACACACGGCAAGGGTCTGAGACACAGAAGAGGCCAGATGGAGACTGGGGGCGCTGTGTGCCAGGCGGGGTCCCCCGAAGTGTGGCCTGCCCAAACACTGAGAAGGCAGGCAGGTCCTGCAAGGGAGACAGGGCAATGCTGCGCTCCAGGACCGCCAAGCCCAGCAGGCCGGTGCTGAACGGACAGCTCCCGAGCTCTGGGCCCCCTGCCCGAGGGGCGGGGCCCAGCCTCGCTCCTTTCCCTCGCTTGCTCCCTCTCTCGGTCTAGTGTTCCTCACTGCTCGGGCCCCCTACTGTCCTCATCTAGTTTTCTACAGCTTCTTGTCTCACCTGTCTCTGTTCCACCTCAGTCTCTGCTTCTCTCAGCCCCAACTCCCCGGGTCTCTTATTAATATCCCTGTTTTCTCTGTCTCCACCTCGTCCCCTTCTCCATTCTGTCTCACCCTTCTCCCACCTCATCATGGTATGTCTCCCTGTGTCTCCCCCTTTGCCCTATTTCTCCATCTCTCTCTGAGCCCCCCCATAGTCTCTCCCCATCTCTACCCCATCTCTGTCTCTTCCCTTTCTGTCTCTCCGCCGTCCTCTCCCCATCTCTTTCTTTCTCTCCACCTCTCCATCTCTCCCCCTTCCACTTGGCCTCGTTTTGGTTCTGGCTGTGTGACCTTCACTTGTCCTTTCTCAGCTGCAGTTTCCACAGAAACCTCCAGTGGGGCGGGGGAGGGCGTGGACAGAAAGCAGACCCACCCTTCTCCCCGCTCAACCAGCCGTCAGCCTACCCCGCCCCACCTCCTCCCTCCCCCCGACTGGGATTTCTCACTTCCTCTCTTGGGGGCTGGGGAGGTACGTTCTCAGCAGAAACACAGGGTCACAGTCACACAGCTGAAGGTGGGTTCACGGATGTACACATATACACACATGCACATGACTACAAAGTCATGACAAATTACCCTGGCCCAGGCACACACTTGCCACCATACGGGCCACCCAGGCACCACCACACTGAACTGTTCACTCACCCTCCCCTCCCCCAGCCCCATCTGGTTGCTGTCTATGTCTCCTTTTCCTGGTGTCTCCGCCTCTCCAGATCCCTGTATCTCTCTCCATCTGTCTCAGGGTCTCTGTCGCAGCCTCCTTCTGTCCTGAGAGAAGGTCAGTGGAGAAGGGCCAGCTGCCCGGACCTGGGCTGACCTGCTGTCTGTGGGCAGGGCGGAGAATCGAGAGAGTGCAGGAGTGACTATCCAGTCTGTGGTTCTCAGCAGACTCCCTGGAGGGGGGAGCCCAAGCCTTCAGTGCCCTCGCACCCCTAGGAAATGAGACCCGGGTATCCCCAGTTTTGGGGTTTTGTTCTTTTTTTATTCCAACGGGGACTGGGGTGTGGCAGGGGGAGGGATGGGGGCCCAACTGACCCCCTCCCTGTGGGGGTCTCATAGAAATTCCGAGGTTTCTCCCCAAAAAAAAGAGAGAAAGAGAAGAGTCGAGGGGCACCAGGGGACACCCATCTGCCCAGAGGCTTCCCACTTCTCCAGGAGTGGGGAGGGCTGCGTTAAGTCTTGGGGAGCCCGAGCAGTCCCAGGATGGGGTTCTCCCCGCGAACTGCTTTCCGCTTCCGGGAACAGCCCCTGCAGTCCTCGGCCCCTGGAGTCCTCGGTTCCTGCGCGCCTCTTGTTCGCAGTGGGGGACGGAGTGCGGGCGTCCGCGGCACCCTCTGGCGAGTCCACTAGGGGGCGCAGGCAGGTTCCGGAGCCGAGCCTCAGACTTCATCGGGAACCAAAGGCAAAATCGTGGCGTCCGGCGCGCGGGGGCACAAGTCCCGTCCCTCGCCCACCAGGGAAGCGAGGGCGGCCGGGGCCTGGGGCGAGCCCAGTCCCTGCGGTCAGTCCGGGTGCCCGCCCGGCCCCGCCCATGATCACTCGTGCTCGGCCAGCTCGCGGGGGCCGGCGGGGCCGGTCCGGGACCGGGGCGGGCTGGTGGCTTCAGCGGGGGCGCCCAGGCCACGCGGGGGCGCGCCGGCTCCGGAGGCCCGCAGCGCCTGGATGCGCCTGCACTCCTGACAGACACGCACGTGGGTGCAAGGGGTGGGGGCGGGGGGCCGGGCCCCGCCGGGCGGTCCCGGATCGTCCAGGAGGCGCTGGGGGCCCCCGTGCGCGCTGCCAGCATCCCCGCCCGCGCCGGCGGAGTAGAGCTTGCCGTTGCTGAGGCGCATCTCGCGGACGGCGCGTAGCGACAGCAGGGCCCGGCTTGGGCCTCCCGGGCGCCGGCGCCGGCGAGAACGCGACGTCTTGCGGCAGGACACCGCGTGCCGCAGCTCCTGCAGCATCTCCTGGCACACCGACACCTGGGGGCGGCGCGGGGCGCGGTGGTCACTGCCTGCGACCTCCTTGCCGCCGCCCCTCGCCGCTCCTTTCCCCTCTGGTCCTCTCGGAAACCTCCACACCCTCTTGCTCTCCCCGCCCCACCTCTGTGTTCACCTCTCTTTCTCTTTCCTGCAAGCCCTTTCACCTCCTCTCTTCCACCCTTTCCTCATTTCCCATTCTCTTCCCTCACAGTTCCCTTATTTCCCCGTGCTCTTCCTGTCTCGTCTCTCCACCTCTCAACTCCTGTCTCTCCTCCACTTCTCGCTCCCGTCTCCATTCTTCTTTGGATTTGTTCTTAAATCTGCCCTTCACCTCCAGTCCACGCTCCTCTCTTCCTACTCCTTCCTCTTGCCTTTTCACTCGAAAGTTTATAACTGCTTCTAGTCCTTCCCTCGTACTCGTTCTCCATCCTCGGCCACTGATTCATGCACGCACTATTGCCAGACGTATTTGCTGACCGCCTACTGTGTTCCAGGCACTGTTTCAGGCACTGGAGATACAGCAGAGAACAAAACAGACAGAAGTCCCTGCCCTCATGGAGGTTATATTGTGCAGAGACAAAACATAAATATGTAAATATAAGTTGTATGTTAGATGGTGATGAGTGCTTTGGAGAAAAATTAAATTGGGAAAATAGGTGGGGTGGGGAGTGATGCTGAATTTTGAGATGGGTCCTTAGGGGAGACTCATTGAGAAGAGGAACTGCAAGTAGACAAACGCAGTGCAGGATGAGCTGCGTGGGGCCTGGCAGGAGGGAAGGCAGACCGTTCAGCTGGTTACAGGTGTGAGGTGCTGGAGGAATGTGGAGCAGGTCAGGGTGGCCAAGGTGCGGTGGGCAAAGGGGAGAGGGAGGAGGTGAGGTCAGGGGAGCAACGGGGGCCGGCTTGTGTAAGGCCCAGAGGCCACGGTAAGGGTTTGGCTTTTACTCTGAGCCAGACGGGAGCCACTGGAGAGTTTTAAGCATAGGACTGCTGTGCTTTCACAGGATCACTCTGCAGCTGTGCAGAGAACAGACTGTAGGGAGGCCAAGGGCAAGAGCAGGGGGCCCACTAGGAAGCTGCTACGGTCACCAGAGATCAGATAGAGGGCGTGAGAAAGAGGGAGGAGTGAAGGGTGACTCCACATATTTTGGCCTGAGCAACTGGAATGATGGCATTGCCTGACGGGTGGGCAGGAGCTCTGTGTTGGCCACATGACGTCACACACTACCTGGTGGACATCCACGTGGAGATGTCAAGTGTGGAGCTGAATTTACAAACCGTGGGCTCAGGGAGAGGTCCCTGTAAGGGATACACATTTGAGGGTTATGGTAGGCAGCCTCCAAGATCCTGCCCCTGGGGTGTTCACACCCTTGTGTAGTCCCCTTTGCCTTTGTATGAGGTTCACTCTGTGACCAACAGAATAAGGCTAGGTCAGCTGACATTTTGGCTTCTTCCCGACTCTCTCTTGCATCACTCGCTCTGGGGAAACTCAGCTGCCACGGCGTGAGGACACTCAAGCGGCCCTATGGAGAAGTCCCTGTGTGAGGAACCGAGGCCTCCTGCCAACTGCTATGTGAATGAGTGTATTTTTATTCTCTCTATCTTAGGATGTTTTGACATCTGAAACATCTTGCTAGCCAGGGAGAGACTGCCCTCCCAGAGCTAGCCAATTGTTAGGGATAGCAAAGGGCTGGGAACCTGCCTTTCACATGAAAACCAACCAATCCTGAGTCTATACACCCCCTTTATCTGACTCTCACACAACAAGCCAGTATTTCCCCTGCCCTAAATCAACCCAGGGCCGGGTACCAGACAATTAGAGACCACCCCTCTAGTCCAGAGCCTGCTGACAGTACGCACACTGCCCGGTCCTAAGCCGTTTCCTTAGCTGCCTTGCCCTTCTCATGGAAACCCCAATAAAGGCTCTGCCCTAGGTTTCTCTCTCCCCTCTTCTGCCTCCTGACCAAATCTGGTGCTTTCCTCGTGGCCCTGTGTGGCGTGGTAGGCCCCCTCCTGTCAGGCAATGTAAGTAATAAATTCTTCTTTCACTGGCATTGGCCTCTTCTGCTCAGTCACTTCCATAAATTAAAACCCCACAGGTACATTTTGAGACAGTGAGCCATCCTGGAAGTGGATCCTCCAGCCCCAGTCGAGCCTCCAGACAACAGCAGCCCCAGCCAACATCATGACCATGACCTTACCAGAGACACTGGGCAGCCAGAACCACCCAGCTAAGCTGCTCCCAGATTCCTGACCTATGGACACTGTGAACTGATAGAAGTTTGCTGTTTTAAGTTGCTAAATTGGGGGATAATTTGCTACATGGCAAAAGATAAATAATACAGGAGTCATCAGCATACAGATGGTCTTACAAACCATTTGGCTGGATGGGATCACCAAGAGAAGGGAGAAAGAGAAGAGAAGAAGTCCAAGGATCGAGCCCTAGGGCGCCCCAACAGAACAGTGCCCGAGAGGTAGGAGGAAAATGAGGCAGGAGCAGGGAAGCGAGCGTTGTGAGGAGAGAGTGATCGGCTGTGCTGAAGCCCATGGCTGCCTCACGATGATGAGGCCAGAGGCTCAGGCGCTGGATTTCAGATGCGGAGGTCGCTGGTGGCAAGATTGGCTTCAGAAGAGAGGTGGGGACAGGAGCTGGATGGGAGTGTGTCCAAGAAGGAATGGGAGGACAGAAACTGGAAACAGCAGAGGGACACACCCTGTCAAGGCTACAACAGAAGGGGAGAAATGGGGTGGTGACTAGGAGGGGAAACGGGGTCCAGAGAGGGTTCCTTGAAGATGGGAGAAATGACAGCACATCTGTATGCTGCCGGGCTTGATCCAGTAGAAGGAGAAAAGCTGATGATGCCGGAGGGAAGGAGAGAACAGCTGAGGAATGTCCTTGGGAAGGCGAGAGAGGAGGAGACAGGGCGCATGCGGAGAAGCCTTAGCGAGGAGCGTGGATGTTCATCTAGAGTCACTAACGGGGCGAGTGGAGAAAGCATGAGGGTAGGTGGATGTAGAGGTGGGGCTTGGCACGCTTTCCGACTCCTCTGCTTTTCTCAGGCCAGGAGAAGCAAGGTCATGGGCTCAAAGCAAGGAGGAGAGGGGGTTGGCTGGAGGCTGGCAGAGAGAGGGAAAGGTTGGAATCGCGGAGGAGCACGGGGGCCCGCGGGGTTAGCACTGGAGTATGGCTGGGGACCACCATGCCCGCGTGTGGGCTGAGACCGGCCAGCAAGTCTGCCTTCCTGCTGCCGCATTCAGCTGCATCCTCCTTGCCCCTGTCTCTCCTCCTATTTCTTCTTGCTTTACCACCTCATTCTTTCCCCATATCCTTCTCTCTCTGCCCCTCCACACTCCTTCCCCTGCATCCTCATCTCTGCCTGCGCCCTCTTCCCCCTCTGTCCTTCCTCATGTCCGTGGACCCTCTCTACCGCCTTCCGTCTGCTCTCACCTCTTTTTTTTTTTTTTCTGGCCGCACCGCGGCTTGTGGGATCTTAGTTTCTTCCCCCATCAGCGATCGAACCTGGGCCCTCTGCAGTGACAGCGCAGAGTCCTAACCGCTGGACCGTCAGGGAGTTCCCTGCTCTCACCTCTTCATGGACCTCCTGGACCCCTGGAGTCGCTCCGATCCTCTCACGTCCCCAGCTCCCAGCCCCCCAACCCTCGCATTCTTCCAGTAACGGCTCCCAATGCCATAGTGTTCACACCCCCTGCCCCTGGGGTCCCACTTCTTCCCACACACCCTTTGCCAGCCCCCTCACCTCTTCTGACTCTGCCGACCTCCGCGTGGACCATATGAATTCCATGACTGCCACGAAGACAGCAATGATGAGGCCACAGATGAGCACGACAAAAATGCCGCCGATGTTCTCCATGCCCAAGCCTGGGGGTGGAGGGGGAGAGCCAGGGGTCGGGCTGCGTGGGCCAGGGGTGGCAAGGGGCCTTTGGGAAGGGCACGGCGTGCAGGGGTGGCTGACCTTTAGCTCGATGGTCCTCTTCCTTGGGGCACCGGCTCCCCTCCCACCACTTGCGCTTCAGGATCTCCAGCCGGTTGTTCTCCTGAAGCTGCAGAATGGCCAGTGTGATCTCATCCCGGAACGGGGAGCCTGGACCGGGCACACGGAGGGTGGACGGTCATCGGGACCCTGGAGCCCTGCCGGCCCAAGCCCCAGATGTTCCCTCCCCTCTGCAGCTGCTCTCCTCCCACCTCTGCAGCATCCCCAGCATCTTCCCTGTCCACCTTCAAATCTGACTACTGCTCGTCACCTCCCCTGCAACCACCCCTGGGCCAAGCCCCAACTTGTCACATTTGTCACCGGTCCCCTCTCCCTGTGCCCCCCCCCACTCTCTCCCCGCCAGGCTCTTCTCAACACAGCAGCCAGAGGGACAGTTTCAGAAACACAGCCAGAGATCACGCCTCTCTGGTGCTTAAAACTCTCCAACGGCTCTGTCTGCAGCTAGAAAAAAAAATCTTCAAATGTTCAACAACATTCTGCATTCACTGGTCCCACCACCTGGGGCTCCCTTAGGACCTTTGCCTCTGCCTGGAATGTTCCTTCCCTCACTTCCTCAGGACTCTGCTCACAGGGTGCCTCAGGGGTTCTTCTCTAACTCTATTTAAAATGACAGCACGCACCCCACTCCCTGTCCATCTCTTCCCCTTATTTACTTCAGAGCAGTTGACACTGCTTGACATCACATTATAAAGCTATGTGTTTACTGTCTGTCTGCACCCCTAGTAGATGGCTGGAGGTGAGGGCTGAGCAGCTAGCTCCCCGCTGTGGCATCCCAGCAGCCAGGGCAGTCCCGGCACACAGTAGGACATCAGATCTGCCAAGTGAACGAATCCTCTGCGTGGCCCCAACCCTGGACCACCTCCCTCCTCTCTACCCTCAGATCCTCCCCTTAAACCATCCTTGGGCCCCACACACCCCACCCATATCCTACCCTCTACTCATTTCTTCATTTACTACTATAATTCTTGAGCATCTACCAGGCGCCAGGAACTAGGGATGCAGGCAAGTGGGGTGATTGGTATTTATCAGGCACCTACTATGTGCCAGACTTTGGTCCACAGAAGCGTACTTAAGTCTCACAATAATCCTGTGAGGCACGTGTTACCACCCTCATTATCTGCATGAAGCAGGTGACACTCTTGCCTGAGTCAGGGAGGAAGCTGGGATTTGAATCCAGGTTGTTGGGACTCCAGAGCCTGTCCCTCAAAGCACCAGGCTATACTGCTTCCCTGATACAGCACCGACCCTACCACAAAGCTGCTAAGATTTGGGGTAATTTGTTATGTAGTCATAGCTAAGAAATGCAGTGGTCATCAGAATATAGGTGGGTTTAAAAGCCGAAATGCCAAAATTTGGTGGCAAAATTGGTGGTGAGTTTCCAGCACCAAGCCCTGGAAAAGCATGTCCAAGTCTCCCTAGCAGATCCATCCATCATTCTTCCTCCCTCCCTCCTTCCCTCTCTCCCTCCCTTCCACCCATCCAGCAACATCCATTATGTTGCTGGACCACCTGCTCTGAGCCAGGCTGTGGGTTTGGTGCAGAGAATATGAAGTAAATAAACCCAGGTCCTCACCCTCGAGGGGCCCTCGGACCAATGGGGCAGGGCAGCAAGCCTCATGGCTCACGCGCACTGACTTGTGCACAGTATCACCGGGTTCTCCCAACAGCCCTCCAGGGCTGGAGCTGATCGTTCCTAGGCCTGTTCATATGCAGGTGGAGGGTGCAGAGGCTCAGGAAGGTGGCATCACCTTCCCAAGGCCACACAGCTAGGAGGCCACACACAGCACACCCAGCCTGCTCGGGAAGGGCCTGGCCTACTCCCTGGCCTGCTCACACAGCTTGGTTTCAGCTGCCTGGGGACCCACGGCCTCCCACCCCACCCCACTGCCGCCATACCCAGCGGCATGCCGATGCCGTAGCCCTTGGTGTCGAGGAGACCCCCGATCTGGGTGAGGTTGCAGTTGAGGCGCCGGTGGTACTCATTCATGGTGGACTCGAGCAGGAAGGCATAGCGGGAGTTGAGGACGCGTGCGATGCCCTCCTCTGTGCTCTTGACAAACACACTGGGCTGCTTCGACTGCATGTAGTTCCACATACGCTGGTACGTCTGGTACCGTGAATTCTGGGCAGAGGGCGCATGAGGGGAAGACGGGTGAGGGTCTTTCCACTCCTGCCTTTCCCCTGAGCCCTGTCCCCTGCCCTCTAGAAAGTCTCCCTCAACCCGAGAGAGCGGGGAGACCAGAGGAAGACAGGAAGAGCCGACGACAGAGGAGACGCACAAGACAGACAGACTGCTCAGGGCCAGACCCAAGCCAACCCCCCACCCACCAGCCCAGCGAGGATCCTGAGGACCGAAGGCTTGGGAAGACGCAGCCACAGCCTGTTCTTCAACCTTTTTCTCTCTTCCACCCCTGGGCCTCGGCTCGGCTTGACACCCAGCCCTGTCTTCCCAGTGTTCCCAGGCCTTATTCAGAGAAGCTGGGAGCAGATGCTCAACCATATACGCCCAGGGCCCAGCCTGCTTCAGAGAGACCTGTGTCCAAGCCAAACAGGAGAGCTTACTTCCTACGGCCCCGCGGGAACCTTCTGAGGAATGCACTGCCCTACCCTGCGCTGCTGTGCACAGCGGGGATCCCGAAACCAAGCCTGGGTGGCTCCGGGGGCCCCACCTGAAAGAAGGTCATGGTGGAACCAGCGTGGATGGTACCATACTCAATGTTGGTCTGGTCCGCCAGGTCGTCGGCCGACTCCACAGGCACCTCCATGCGCTGCACGGTGAGGAAGGCAGCCAGGTTGGCCGTGTAGGAGGAGATGATGATCAAGGTGAAGGCCCACCTGGGGGGGGGGAGGGGTGAGCTACAGGCTGGAGCCGCCACTGCCCCCCTGCCCCTGTGGCCATGCGCCCCACTGGTGGTGCCCCCTCAGTGACCCCAGCATCTAGAAGGATGACTGCTGACTAGTGGAGGGGCTGGGAGCATGGAATCTGGAGCCAGATTCCTTGGGTTTAAAATTGCTTTCAGAGGGCTTCCCTGGTGGCTCAGTGGTTAAGAATCCACCTGCCAATGCAGGGGACACGGGTTTGAGCCCTGGCCCGGGAAGATTCCACATGCCACGGAGCAACTAATTCCCGTGCGCCACAACTACTGAGTCTGTGCTCTAGACCCTGCGAGCCACAACTCCTGAGCCCGCGTGCCACAACTACTGAAGCCCGCACGCCTAGAGCCCGTGCTCTGCAACAAGAGAAGCCACCGCGATGAGAAGCCCGTGCACCGCAACGAAGAGTAGCCCCTGCTCACCGCAACTAGGGAAAGCCCGCGCGCAGCAACGAAGACCCAACACAGCCAAAAATAAATTAATTAATTAATTAAAAGAAAAGAAACGTTGATTTCCAAGGCAGAGCTGTCCTGAACCATGGCGAGCCCTTGGGTGTGGCAGCAGGAGGCTATGGCCCGTGTGCACATGAGATGAGGGGCCCAGGAGGGGAGTTCTGGCCGAGCTGCTGCTATTCAGGGGGCGGCCAAGTCCCTAGAGCACTGGCACCCACCCCCACCGCCCTACCACCAGCCCTGGCTTGCTGAATCACCAGGCCGAGGTCACATCTGGAGATTAAGAAACATCTGTTGAATGACTGAATGTGGGGGAAGACTCGGGGTGGAGACAAGAGTGAGCCTGAGGTCAAAGGGGTCAAAGGTGAGAGAGGGGACATGACTGTGGGCTTCCTGGGTGACAGCAATGGGAAGGGGCAGAGAACGCTCAGCTGGGGAAGAGGGTCCCTGACTGAGGAGCAGAAGGGATGGGCTGTAGAGAGCTGGTCACTGGTCCCCCACCTGACTGGGGGACTCGGCCAGATTTGTCACAGCGGGTCCCTTCACACCCTCTCAGCCACCTCCTCACACATGCCTCCCTCTCGTGCCCGGCTGGAATGCGCCTCCCTCTCTTTGGCAGGCATGCCTCTGTTTGCACCTTCAGATGAAACAGCCTAGATGGTACCTCCTCAGAGGGGCCCTTCCCGAGCACCCTCATTCTCTACTGTTCTCTTTCACTGCACCCTGTTTGGTTCTTCAATAGCGCAGTTTACATACATCTGATACATCATTATATTAAAAATGTTAATAAAGTTTAGTCGGGGTGTGTGGTAGGCAGAAGAAAGGCTTGCCCCCCAAAGATGTCTACATGCTCATCCCTGGAACTTGTGAATATGTTCCCTCACAGGGTAAAAGGGTCTTTGCAGATATGATTAAGTTAAGAGTCTTGAGATGGGGAGATTAGCCTGGATTATCCTGTTGGGCCCATGGAATCACAAGGGCCCTTATGCGGAAGAAGGAGGTCAGAGTCAGAGAGAGAGATTTGAAGACGTTATGTTGTTGGCTTTGAAGATGGAGGAAGGGGTCACAAGCCCAGGAACGCAGGCGGCTTCTAAAAGCTGGAAAAGGCAAGGAAATGGATTCTCCCCCAAAGCCTCCAGAAGAACTGGCCCTGCCAACAGCCTGATTTTAGCACAGTCGTATCTGTTTTGCACCTCTGACCTCCAGAATCATAAGAGAATAAATTTATGTTGTTTTTAAGCCACGAAGTTTGTGGTAATTTGTTGCAGCAGCAACAGGAAATGAATACAGGGTATAACTCCTGACATGATGCCAATTTCAAAATGTTAAAAAAAAAAAATCATCAAGATTCAAAAGTTTAGGGATCTCCCTGGCGGCCCAGTGGTTAGGACTCCGAGCTTCTACTGCAGGGGGCACGGTTTCGATCCCTGGTCGGGGAACTAAGATCCTACATGCCATGCGGCACATCCGGAAAAATTTAAAAATTAAAGAAAAAAAAACGTAGGGGCTTCCCTGGTGGCACAGTGGTTGAGAGTCCGCCTGCCGATGCAGGGGACGCGGGTTCGTGCCCCGGTCCAGGAGGATCCCACGTGCCGCAGAGCAGCTGGTTCCATGAGCCATGGCCGCTGAGGCTGCGCGTCTGGAGTCTGTGCTCCGCAACGGGAGAGGCCACGACAGTAAGAGGCCCACATACCACCAAAAAAAAAAAAAGAAAAGAAAAAGAACGTTTCAAAGCCCCGCTGCAACTAAGGAGCCCACGTGCTGCAACTTAGGAGCCCACATGCTGCAACTAAGGAGCTCTGGAGCCGCAACTAAGGAGTCCGCCGGGTACATCTAAGACCTGGTGCAACCAAAACAAACAAACAAAAAGTTTCAAAGCCAATGGACCAAGCAAATTGCAAACAACTGCCAGATGGTAGTTAGCCTCGCTTAGCTGGGAAAGAGAAAAACCTGCCACCGTTATGGTTAGTCCTGAACAAACAAGTTTTGAATCAAACAATATCTTCGGGACATATTCTTGGCATAAAATATGATGTCCTTGTGTTTATTTATCTGTTTATTCTCAGTTCCTTTGCCTCTTGAGGACTGATTTTCCACCTGCCTGAGTGCCTGGCACATGGAAGGGCCTGAGAAGCACCTCTTGCTGAATGACTACTGAGCATAGATCCTGACTGATGGGGAGGAGGCCCCATGCCTCAGTTTGCCCTGGAGAGGCACCCAGGGCCTACGGGGTGGGTGGCACTGGGGCGGGAGGCTGGCTCAGCCCAGCCCTGCCTCTAGCCAAATGCATGCTCTTTAGCAAACCACTTCCTCTCTCTGGGTCTCGATCTTCTAATCCATAAAACCAGAGAATATTCCTTATCCTAAGCATGCTCCTCGGCTTTCTGTGGTTCTAATGAGGAAAAGGAGCTGAGAAGAGTTATATGAACTGCAACCAAGCCCAGATGCTATTTCAAAGATAGGGTGGCAAATGTGAGTGCTTATGGAAGCCAGGCCAGAAAGTGACTGAAGGAGGACTTTCCTGGTGGCGCAGTGGTTAAGAATCTGCCTGCCAATGCAGGGGACACGGGTTCGAGCCCCGGTCGGGGAAGATCCCACAGGCCACGGAGCAACTAAGCCCATGTGTCACAACTACTGAGCCTGCACTCTAGAGCCCTCGAGCCACAACTACTGAGTCCGTGCACCACAACTACTGAAGCCTGCGCGCCTAGAGCCTGTGCTCCGCAACAAGAGAAGCCACCGCGATGAGAAGCCCGCGCACCGCAGTGAAGAGTAGCCCCCGCTCGCTGCAACTAGAGAAAGCCCACATGCAGCAACAAAGACCCAATGCAGTCAAAAAAATAAAAATAAAAAAAAAAAAGTGACTGAAGGAGGGAGAGAGGACTGAGGCCAGTGGAACAGGCATCGACGCCAGGTGGGAACGCCAGCCGAGCACTACCAGATCTCCCAAATCTTTGAGAAAAGTGAGAAATCTGAATTTGGGGAGTTTCCTGGTGGCCTAGTGGTTAGGATTCCGGGCTTTCACTGCTGTGCCCCGGAACAAAGATCCCACAAGCCGCGCAGCGTGGCCAAAACAAAACAAAAAGAGGAATCTGAATTTGTAAGTGAATTTACCCAATTTTTAAATGCCAACTAATTCAAAATCTTTTAAACTATGGGCCAGACACCACCAGTTGTCAGTGTCTGCTCTCTGACACATAGGTTCTTGGAGCTTGTCTTGGGGGCAAAATAAGTTCCGTTCAAAATAAGTTACTGGGTCTGGGTAATTCCCTGGCAGTCCAGTGGTTGGGACTTGGTGCGTTCACTGCTGAGGGTCCGAGTTCAATCCCTGGTCAAGGAACTAACATCCCACAAGCCATGCGAGGTGTGGCCAAAAACAAAAGTTACGGGATCCACGTGGGACTTTGAGGGAGCAGGTATCCCTGTCCAGGGCCTCAGCCTCAACGTCTGGACAGTGAAGGCTGTCCTGGCTCAAGGATTCCAGTGTCTCTGTGATTGCCCGGGCAATGTCCGAGACAGCAGTAACAATGCCAATACTGTCCTGATTATAACCCCTCCGGTCAGCAGAAGCACTTTCCCATCCCTTAGCCACACCGAATCCTTACAACCTGAGACATGGGCATTTTTATCCCCATTTATCAGATGAGGAGACTGAGGCATGGAGACCCAAGGTCACACAGCCAGTGAGTGGCAGAGGTGGGGCTCAGCTGCCCCCACCCCATTCCCTGTCACACAGCTTGTGTGGGACACAGGAATGGGCCCAGGCCTCAGAACCCCCCCGCCCTCCTCCCCACCTCCGTCAGCCCCGGCTGGGGCAGACAGGCAGCCTCTCACCAGACTCCGCTGACGCAGCGTGTGGACAGCGCCCGGGGCATGATCTCCGAGCCCTGCTGCATGAAGCCCCCCCACGGGGAACCAGAGGCTGTTGCCCAGCGTGTACTGATTCTCCAGGATGTGGGGACGTGCCCGCAGGCACGGGTGCGGGTTATACCACTCGTAGGGGCTCAGCCTGTGGAGAGACACGGGGAATGGGGAGAAAAAGGAGAGGAACAGAGGAAAGAGAGAGCCACCGTGATCAGAAGAGATGGGGGGACAAAAACGGAGGGGAAGATAGACAGAGATGGACAGAGAGAGACACACACACACACACAGAGAAACAGAGACAGTGCAGGCAAAAGGGGAGGGGGACAGAAAGAATGGGAAGGGGAGAGACCCAGAGAGAACCACGGAGCAAAAGTCAGAACCACAAGAAGGAAATACAGAGACAGGGCCAGAAAGGGAGAAGGGAGGGTGCAGGGAATCCAAGGCCCCAAGTGGAGGCCGAGGATGGTCCAGACAGACAACAGAAAGGTCAGGCATGGAGACCCCAGCTCGTGCTTCCTCCCCGCCCTCTCCTTCCCAGGCAGCAGGTAGTGGACTCACCTGGCGGCCAGGAACAGGACGCAGCTGACAGCCAGGTAGGCCAGAAGCATGAAGAGCCACACAGCAGGGGAGAAGGGGTCCAGGAAGGAAAAGTAGCCAGGCTTGCGGCCCTGGTGGGAGACGGAATGAGAGCCGGAGCCACACAGACCTGAGCCCCTCCCCCAGCCCCGGGGCCCATGAGCCCCACCGGCCCATCCGAGGTCCAGCCCACAGCCTCTGCCTCCCTTGGGTGTCCGGCCCCAGCACCAGCCCCCACCCCCACCTCCAGGGGAACTGTACCATGTGCACACGGTAGAGGATGCTGATTCCCAGGGTCATGAAGGGTTTGGAAAAGTCGATGACCTTCTCCCGCTCAGCTGTGATGGTGAACGCAGCCACAGCCAGGTCTGCCTTCTGCTGGAGGGGAAGCGGGGCGGGGGTAGATGGGCGGGCCAGGGAGACAGATGGGCAGTTAGAGAGAACGCACTGAGGGAGCGACTTAGAATATCAGAAGGTGAGAGAGAGGCAAAGAGAGAGGACAGCAGAAGGAGCCAGGGGACTGGCTCCAAGAGTGCACCTAGGGCCTCCAGCTGGACCCTTGTCATCTCACATCTGCTGTAAGCGGCTCCTGTGGCCTCCTTCCTGCCTGGCTGCCCTGCCTCATCCAATCTCTCCCACTCCCCAGTCAAGTTCATCATTAAGACCCTGCTTTATAAAACCTACCGCTGACCCCCACCACTCCCACCATGCCGGGGTCCTGAAGAGAGAGCCTGAGATTGGAGCTGAGATGCCTGGACGCTGACCCCTCAGGACCCTCTTGGAGCTTTGGTTTCTCTTCTGTATGAACAATTAACAGGGAATATTTATCAAGCGCTTACTGTGTGCCAGGCTCCATGCTAGATGTCACTTTATATAGATTATCTTGTATAATCCTCTTAACAGCTCCCTGAGGGCCACTACTAGGCCCATTTTATAGAAGGGGAAACTGAGGCTCAGAGAGGCAAAGGCACTAGGGAGGAAAGGCAGGGGCTGGGGACCATAAAGCAGAGACATGACCTCCACTCTCCTGCCCCTGGCAGACACCAGGGACCTAGATGTGTGCATGAAGCCACCCCTGACACACAGGACCACGCCCGGCTCAGTTGAGGTAACGATCTCAGGAGAAGCTGCACGTGGTCTTGAGTCGGGGAGGGGTGGCTGGGGTCCAGGTCTGAAGTGGTGAAGGGTGGGCAGTGGGTGGGGTATGGCGGAGAAAAGGGTGTGTGTTGGGGTCTCGCTGACACACCGGAATGCCTGATCCAAAGAGGCCATCTTGCTCTTGGCCAAGTGCACATCAGCCAGTCGTTAGCTGTGGGCAGGACACAGGCTGGGAAAAAACCTGGCACTTCTCACACACACACACACACACACACTGCACACGTGAGCACTGTACCCGGTCAGGTCTACACCACCATGTGCACACCGTGCCATATCCACACATGCGTGCCCAGACACAGGCTGACCCAGTGACATACTGTCCACGTGGACTCAGGCAGACAAACCCGTGCCCTGCACGCGAGTGTAGGGAGGAGTGATGACATCGTGGGGGGCATTCCCTAGAGGCACAGTGCACACACCCAAACACGTGGGCTCACGTGTGCACATACATGACAGAGGGGGCAGGGTGCTGGGAAGAGCCGCGGGTGGGAGTAGAGAGCCCTGGCTCTGCCCCAAGCTCACTGGGTGACCAGGGGCAGGCGCTTGCTTCCATGTCTCTGGGCCTCAGTTTGGTCCTCTGTAAAACTGGGCGGGAGGGGAGCGAGTTGTCTCCTGGATTTGGAACCCGGCTCCCAGGACGCTCCTTCCAGGCATACTGATTCCATCGCCCAGGGCTCAACTGGGCCCCAGCACTGACTCCAAATTCAAGTAGAGTCCTCCCCCTGGGGCTGAAATAAGAGTCAAGGTCCTGGATCACTGGCCTGGGAGGAGGGACACACTCACCCCCCAAGGGGCTGAGACTGAGACCACATGGTAATACAGACTAGGACAGAACTGGGGTGGGGAGAGAGGGCACAGGCCCCAAAGATACTGCAAAGAGACATGGCACAGGCTGAAAAGAAAACCAAGGTCAGGGAGAGATCACGTGGACCCAAAATGAAATCCAGGGTCTAGGAGAGAAGAGATCTGAAAGGCAATTCGATGTCAGGGAAAGAGGACAGACCCAGAAGATTAACCAAGAGTAGAGAGAGACAGCATAGATGAAGCAACTATGGCAGGGTGAGAGAGAGATGGCACGTCCCCAAGGCAGAATCCAGAGGCGGCCATGTGTGGCAGGGGCCCAGAACGCACTGGATTCAGAGCATACCCCTGGGAATTCCTGGGTGTTGAGAGTAAGGAGTGGTTCCCCCCCCCTTTTTTTTGGCCACACCCCACGGCTTGTGGGATCTTAGTTCCCCAACCAGGGATCGAACCCGCGCCCTCGGCAGTGAAAGAGCAGAGTCCCAACCACTGGACCACCAGGGAATTCCCGGTTTTCTCCTTTCTTGTGCACTTGCCACTCTCGTGACTAATATGTGAATCGTTGTGAACAATGTTAGCTAATACAGGAATCTTTATTTTTATGCACCCACAGGAGGTCTGTCCTGGCAAAGGCCCCCCACGATAACCCATCAGCCTCCTCACTGGACCCCTGCCTCTGCTCATAACACGCCCCCCATCCAAAATGATAGTCACCTGTTTAAAAACCCTTGGGTGGCTTTTCCACTGCACCTAAGACAGTGTCCAGGGTGGCTGGAGCAGAAAGGGGGGGTGGGGTGGGAAATGCAGCAGAGTGGGGACCAGAGCCCTGCAGGGCCTTGCAGGCCAGGAGAAGGGGGCCGGATTCTACCCCAAGGGCAACAGAGGACATCACATCAGAGGGTGTGTGCAGCGGAGGGTAACATGATCTGGCCACCCTGAGAACAGACCACAGGGGCAAGAGTGGAAGCTGACTAAAGATGCCCACAGAGGTGCTGGGGGTGGGGCTAAGTAGAGGTGGAGAGGAGGTGGTCCGATTTGAGATGAATTCCGAATGGAGGACAGACAGATCCTTAAATGCTGCAAGTTCTTCTAGACCCCTCTCAGAGTCTTGGGAACCCCTGCCCCCTTTCCACCTCCTCCTCTTCCTCCTTCATTTCCCAAAAGGGACACCTGTTCCTTAGAGAAGACTTCCCTCCCCAAGGGAACCCTGACAGTTTAATCTCTGGGATGAAATCAGGAAGAATCCAAATGATAAGCCACCTGTAGAAATGACAGGGGGATTGTCTAAATGCCTAAAAACCAACCAAAGCACTTGTGACTGTCCCTCTGCCCCAGCCCGCCCTATACACCAGCTCTGTGCAAACCATCTGTGCTGTGCCGTCAGCTCCCTGACAGGCTCTGCCAATAGGGGGCACTAGAGGAAGGCTGCAAGGCTGGAGGAAGGACAGTTACCTGCTCCTTCTGGTCTACTCTCGGGTCCCCAGCCTTTCTGCGCCAAAGGCAGCAGCATTTCTTCCACAGGGCGGCAGACAAGTTCAGCCTGCAGCTTCCCAGCACTTGCAGAACCAGCCTAGCCCAGCCTTTCTTGGGGCACCAGCACCAGCTGGCGAGTGCCCCCTCCTCGGGGTCTGAGTTTCCGCCCCACAGAGCCCTTCCTCTAAGTTTCTGAGTTTCAGCTCTTCTCTGTTCCTTCAGAACTTGAGACAGAGCCACTTCCTGCCTTGCTACCTCCTTGATGCCTGAGAGAGAGCAAGGGTGTGTAAACTATGGCCCTCAGGCCAAGTCCCAACTGCCCGATTTTGAAAAATAAAGTTTTATTGGAACACAGCCAGGCGCACTTGTTTAGGTATTGTCTACAACTGCTTTCCATACAATGGAAGAATTGAGTAGTGACAGAATGACCTGGAAGCCAGAAATATTTACATGTGGCCCCTTGCAGAAAAACTGCTGATTCCTGCCTTGGACTTCAACTTTTACCCTCTCAGTTAACTAGTTAGCAACTTTATTCCTAGTAAATAATTCTCTTCATTCAAATATCTGGGGACTTCCCTGGTGGCCCAGTGGTTAAGAATCTGCCTTCCAATGCAGGGGATGCGGGTTTGATCCCTGGTCAGGGAACTCAGATCCTACGTGCCACGGGGCAACTAAGCCCATGTGCCACAACTACTGAGGCTGTGTGCCACACCTAGAGAGAAGCCCACGGGCCGCAACGAGGAGCCTGCACGCTGCAGCGGAGATCCTGCGCGCCGCAACAAAGATCCCGCATGCTGCAACTAAGACCCGATGCAGCCAAAAATTAAATAAATTAATAAATATTTTTAAAAACCCCACAAATATCTGGAGTGATTAGTTTCCCCGTAGACCCCTGACTGATGCCAAAATGACAATACCCAGGTGACATGAGCGCTCAGGTCACGGGGTCACTCACTGTCCATGGGCAGGTGTTCAGTGTCTAGCAGGTAATGAGCAGTTTCTCAAAAGGAGAATAGTATCTGCAGAAAACAGCATGATTTGCTTCAAAACCCTAGAGGTCTGCATGCGAGTCACCTCTTGGTGCCTGCTTCCCTATTTGCCACCAGCACTCTACACTTCCCGGGGTCTGCCGGGTCATCAGGCCCAGGTGGCAGATCAGCTTGCATGAAGCCAGGACCTGCTGCAGAGCTTTTGCACGCTCTGGGCCTCCCTCAACATGGAAAGCCTTGCAGGTTGTTTGGTAAAGGGATTAAAGCAGCACACACAAGTTATACCCAGGTATAAGTTGTTGCTCAAATCCAAAAACCCCACCAGATATCCGCAATACCAGACAAACAGCAAAGGTCTGAGTTTCAGCTCTATGGGGACCCTCGTCTGAGTTTCTAAGGTTTAATCTTTCCAACTTCTTCCCCTTTCCCCTTAGCCCTCGGGGTGATGGCTGCTTCCTCCAGCTGCTACCTTCAGGATCCATTAGATTTCTTTTTACTCTTTCAGTTAGTGGGTTAACAACTTTACATCTAGTTAACAATTTTTTTTTTTTTTTTTTTTGGCTGCACTGTGTGGCTTGCAGAATCTTAGTTCCCTGATCAGGGGCTGAACCTGGGACCTCAGCAGTGAAAGCATGGAGTCCTAACCACTGGACCGCCAGGGAACCCCTAGTTAACATTTCTTTGTATTAAATTCTCTCTGTTCAAATAGCTGATAAGAGGGGAATTCCCTGGCGGTCCAGTGGTTAAGACTCCGAACTTCCACTGCAGGGGGCACGGGTCCGATCTCTGGTCAGGGAACTAAGATCCCACATGCCTCGAGGTGCAGCCAAAAAAAAAAACAACAACAAAACAAAGAAACAAACAAATATAGCTGATATGATTCTGTTCAAGTAACTGGCGCTGTTTTGTCTCCAGACTGGACACTGACTGACTGGTATCAGCCGTGGGTGTATT